GGCAGGAGGTGTGGGATGAGAACACCGGCTGCTACTATTACTGGAACACCCAGAGCAACGAGGTGACCTGGGAGCTGCCGCAATACCTGGCGACGCAGGTCCAGGGCCTGCAGCACTACCAGCACAGGTGGGAGAGACCCCTGGCCCCGCGAGGGGAAGTGCTGGGACGTTGTCCCCGAGCCCGCCTTTCACTCTTTCTCTCTTCCTCAGCAGCGCTGTGGCAGGGGGCCACTACGGCAGCTTCGTAGCTGCTGCTGAGCTGTACCCCCAGGAGAAAGGAGCCGCCCCGGGCAGCGTTGGCCGTGGGGCCAGCATCGTCAAGCGGGAGGTGAAGAAGGTCAGTCAGACGAGCCCAACACCGGGTTCTGGTTGCCACGGGGCTCGTAGGCGCCCTTTTGGGTTTCCTCGGCAGTGGGTGGGTCGCTCCGTTCCATTTGCAGCCCGAAGAGGGGCCCCTGGGCTCCTTCCTCCGCGGGTTGCGGTCTCCTTCGCTGCTTGGGGAAGGCGTAGGGGTGCGGTGAGGGGGCAGGGAGCCGCGGCTGCTGCCAGAAAGCTCACGCAGGGCTCGATCTGCAGGAAGTGAACGAAGGCGTGCAGGCCCTCTCCAACAGCGAGGAGGAGAAGAAAGGGGTGGCCGCAGCCCTCCTGGCACCGCTCCTGTCCGACGTGGTGAAGGAGGAAGAGGAGCGCTGGAGGAGAAAGGTGATCTGCAAAGAGGAGGTTGAGCCGCCACCAGAAGAAGAGGCGAAAGCAGAAGAGGCGGCAGCTGCTCCCGAAGAGCCGGAGCCCGGCAGGGATCCCCTGGAAGACACGTTGCAGGAGGATCTGTGCAGCGTGGTGCAGTCGGGGGAGAGTGCTGAGGAAGAGGAGGAGCAAGACACCCTCGAGCTGGAGATGGTGCTGGAGAGAAAGAAGGTAAGGGGGGAATTTTTGTCACTGAAACGAAGCTGCAGGCGCAGCCAAGGAATAGTTGGGAATAAACAGGGAGCGGCAGGCGTTTTCGTCTCTGTTGTGCTTCCTTTGGGAGAGTGACCTCGCGGTTTCCTGTGCTGCTCCTGTACGGGCTTGGGCTCCTTATAGATCTGGGTGCTAATCAGCTGCAGCTTTGCACGGACGCTGCTGACGAGTTGGCAAACTCTTGCTCCGTCTTCGCTGCCGTTAACACGGTGCCCTGATTTAGAGCATTGCTTGCTCTTCTTTCGCCGGTGACTCGTAACCACTGCGGCTCTTTGGGGGAGGCTCAGGTCCCTGAAGTGCCGCTTGCCGTCGTGTCTCTCCGCAGGCGGAGCTGCGTGCCTTGGAGGAAGGCGACGGCAGTGTTTCAGGCTCCAGCCCGCTCTCCGATGGGAGCCAGTCGGCCTCGCAGGATGCAACCCGCAGGCTGGCCTCCAAGCGAGGGAAATGGAAACTGTTTGTCGGAGCCGCCAGCCCCGAATCTGCCAGTCGTGGCTCCAGCAAAACGGGCCGGGAGAGCCCGGAAGCGGGAGAAGCAGGTAATTGGAAAGGCTCCCTTCGGAGGGAGGAGTGGGTATTTGGAAGGCCTGGAGCCCGCAGAGCCCTGCGCAGGGCGTAGAGGAGCCGGGACGGGCGGTGAGGTACGTGTGCTGGGCAGGGGACAGGCCCGCAGGGGCGGCTGGCACTGGGGTCGCGTA